CTTTTTTGAAATGTTATCACGTGCATTGCACGAGAATAAATACTAGTAATTTGTATAAATTACAATTTTCTATAAATTTAATTATATATACTTAGCTTGATATATACAACATTATAAATATCAAGCATTAATTAAATGAGTGGGCGTCTTTAAATTGCTCCAACTTTGATTGTCTATGAACAGTTCACATGATAGCTTTTGTGACATAAAGCAGTTTAGTGAGTATGTGTAATCTATGAAATGATTTTAATTTTTGACTCAGTGAGTTAGATATTTGCTAGGTGTGTTTTCTCATTTCTGAGAAATCACAACCACAAAACTCAAGGCACAAACATAAGGGCAAACATGTCATTTCACCACACATTTTTCAAGTCAAAAGGCTAGTTGGTTTTTTTTATATTACTAGTAAATTACTGAAAACTTAAGGCCTTGATTAATTGCATGGAAATTACTTTATGTTTGATTTTTTTTATTTAAAACTTATTTTGATAGTTTCTTGTAATACACTTGAACCTCCATAAATTAGTACTCACTTAAATGATATTTTATTTGGATCCCGACTCATAGTAAACGTATTAAATTGTTAGCTCGACAATTTAACATTTCATTAAAGTAATATAATTTTGTTAGTCCTAACTCTATTAATTCAGACGGGTTTAGTTGTTAGGTATTATTTTGAACTATTCTCGATTCATATGATGGAATCAAAATTTATAGGATAAATTACACATGCAACCCCTACATTAGGTGTAAATACATCTCGCTTCTTCGAATTTGGAAATTTAATTTAGATTAAATTTGGTGTATAATATTTTGACCATAATATATATATATATATATATATATATATATATATATATATATATATATATATATATATTATCACGGTCCCCCTAAGGGCATCTCCAATGGAGTCTCTCAACTTTATAAGTCTCTAAATTTTAGAGACTTTGGAAACGATCAACACCAATGGAGATCAGATCATAGAGAGACTCTAAAATAGAGATTTTTTCCTATATGTGGGATTTTATATAGAGACTCTAACCTAAAGTAGCCTCACCCTAAATTAATAAAAAAAAATATCAAATTTATATTTTTGTAGTTGAAATATTTTTTTTTTTGCTAAAAATATTTAGTTTTGTTGTCGAAAATAAGAAAAAAAATTCTAGGTGAGACATATACTAAAAAATTAAGATAATGCAAATAAAAATTAACTATAGAAAATTTTAATGTACAAAACTAAACTATAAATGTTGTTATAGTATAAAATAATTTATAAATTGATAAATAAAATTAATTTTATAGAACTCCTCGCTGGAGATGACTTTTTTTAGAGACCTAGAGTCTCTAACTGAGTCTCTAAAATAAAAATTAGACTTAATTATTACATGTAGACCCCTTAAATTTGAAAATTGAACCAGTTTTCCTTCAAGTTTTAATTGCGGCCGTCTTAATCCAATTTGATTGTTGTTTTTTTCAAACTTATTTGAATTTTATTTGAAGCCTTGCACGTAAAATATTTGAAATCGGTGGCACTAGGATTCGAATTAAGGACCTTTCATTTGGTTTTACTCTGATACCATGTGGAATGACCACATCAACTGAAAGTTTGAGCCGCTACTGAATTCTATCATTTAATATTAATAAATAGTGTAGCCATATTTTTTCAACCAAATGAAGCCCTTTTCTTATATATATAATTTAAATATAAAAACTATGTAAGAGCATCTCCAAGGTTAAGACCTAAAATTGGAGATGCTATATCTACAATACCTAATGAATAATTTTATGCCAACTCAATTTTATTGTAATCATACCATCCAAAATTTACCATATTATTATATTTTATTGGAGATATTCAATATCTACCCAATTTCACTTTTATTGTTTTACAGGTGGGGGTTTGTATTTATTTGTTGATGGTTTATTGATTATTTTAATATTTTTTCTTTACAATTTTACAGCATCTTCAATGCTAAACTGAGTCTCTAATATTTAGAGTGCTACATTGGGTAATTAGAGATATTTGTTAAAAAATCATCTCTCATGCAAATCTTAAGAAAAATCTCCAAATGATATGGCAATGAGGTGGCACTTGTGTTTTTAGAGATTGTGTCAACTCATCAACTAATACAATTTTTTCTTTTAATTTCTATTAAAAATATTAAGATAATTAAATTATTTTCATACAGTAAATGAATTTCTCCATATCTCTCCTATTTGTCCACCTTCTTCTACACTATTTTATAGGAGTTATATGTTTATGTGAAGATTCGACTTTCAGGTAAAAATATTAATTAATTAATTAATTTGTTTTAACAATAATTTTCTCAAATTTTAATCAATTGAATTAATGTGATTTCTTTGCCCAAAAATAAATGAATTATACGTATGATCTATAGAAATTGCTAGTTTGTATACAATATATGTTTATGGTTTAACGAAAAGAAAAAATATCAATTTAAAATTTGTTCGTAAAATATTTAACTATTGAATGTTCACAAAAAACACCCTATTTACTTCTTTTTCTCTCTCCTAAAATGAATTTGGTTAAACCCTACTTATTTAAATCAAGAATGAAATCGGAAATGCCCGCATGGGTGTAGCTCAACTGGTTCCGGAGGTGGTAAGTTGGTGCAAGGTCCTAGGATCGACTCTTGACAGCCGCAGTGTGGGAATTTCAACTCCAAATGAGGGTTGGTTCCTTGTGGGCACCAGGTCCGGATCCGCTACCTTAACGGGCCGTTGAGTTACCATGATTTACATCCTCCAACAATCCTTGTCGGGCCAAGGGATGGGGGCCTTTGGGGCGAGGGATTCGCCTTTTGGTGCATGGTGCAAGAATGAAATCGGAAATAGAATTTTTTTCTTTTTTTAGGTAATATATTTTTTTAATAAATTAATGTTTTAAGTTTAATTTTAAAACCCAATAGTAAATTAAACCTAAGGATCTTTTTTGAGTTTTGAGTTTTGCATTGGAGAGGACTATGCAGTAGAGAATCTCAATCTTGCCAAATAGGATAGATAATTTTAAAAATTCACATTTGATACTTGATACCTAATTTTTTTTTTTGAGTTTTTTCCAGTTTAGCACTGGAGATGCTCTAAAACTTATAAAAAGAAGAGAGAAAATGAAATTACCTAAAATGAAACGAATTGCATTTTGAAGAGGAGACTTTTTCATCAAGAGTAGAGTTACGATGATCAAAGTTTAATATTGATTGTAATGTCTGGTTATCGGTAAAATTAAAGGATTGAGGTTTTATTTAGAAATTTTAGAAATTAAAATGAGATTTTAAGTTAATGATAAAAAAAAAAAATATCTTTAAAAATTCTTATTTATTTTCCTTATTATGTATATTTTGGTATGATAGGGTTTTAGCATGACAATAACATTGGGTAGCATGTGCTACAAAAATTTCTTTGTGAGGTACGATAATGTACCATCACTTTTCGTTAATGAAATTACAGTGACATTTCAATATGGTAGGGTATTCCGTTGGTAGTGGCATTTTGGTCAAAAGAAATCCAATCTTACCAAAGACCATTTTAGTTTTTTACATACATCAAACAAAATGTAATTTAATGTAGGTAATTTCTCGATATTTTTCTAAAGTTAGTGAGAATCGTAATATTTTTCTAACAAAATGGGTATATATTTAATTAGATCTAACCATAGAGGATGATTTATAGGGGATATGCCTAATTGGGCCAGTCCAATAAGCCTACGATTTCTCTATCTATTAGGCCAAGAGTCTGATTTAGAAGAACACTATTACGAAAGTTCAATTACCTTCAAATAAAGTTTCGGCCCAACAAATTAACCTCAGTCCAATCGACAAAGTATAAATAACGATTTAATTCAATTATTAAAGGTATGCTCTATTATCTGAGCTATACTACAATTCGTATATCTCAACTATTTCACTATCCGCACGCTCGGCTCGAGCGTCGAACGGGGTTTCCGCCACATCAATACAACATAGTTCACGTGTTCTCTGTTCGCAGACTTTGCTCTCCCAGCTCTTTTTATCTCCACTACTTAAGGTGATCTAATATTTAGCAATTAGCGTAGAATTTTCAATAAATCAATAACCAAATGAAGTTATAGTGTGAAGCAAAATCAAACTTAAACAAGGTTGTCTAATTTTATAAACTGAAAGGAGTTTACAAATACCTAATATCATTGAAAATTGTTGCAATTTATCAAAAAATTTATTCATTTAAAAATGGGAAAAATACCCACCCGAAATCCTCTTATGTAATTTAACTATATTTTCCCCATCATATACTATAATTTTTTTTAATTAGGGAACACACAACCAACTATATAGGTGCACTGAATAAATCTACACTCTTATATACTAGCTTGTAAATCATACGAGAAATATACACCACACTAGGCTAACCATGTGTAACAAGCTAAATCGACCGTTTGCAATGTGAATCAAATCTGAATCTGGACAATCTATCATTAGATTTAAAATATAAACGTGCTGATTTTGATGCAGTACATAACATAAGTTAAAAAAAACAAAAAAACAAAAAAACAAAAAAAAAAAAAAAAAACAGAGATATTATTTCTTGTATTTATTTTAACAAATCCCTCGTATTTTTCCTTTTTAATTTGGTTCTGAAAACGTTTGACTGGGTATTATATAGTATATAATATAATATTGTGTTATAACCATAATAAAATATGGCTTGACCAAACAGTAACATGGGGCAAGAAAGAGAAGAAAACAAAAGAAAGGAAGATAGAGTGGAGAGGTCAAGCAGCCCATCACAATGTGAATGCTTTGCATTTGGTACTTGTTAAGAAAAAAAATTAAAGTCAAAAGTCTTTGATTCAAAATCTAAAGCATAGTGTGACACCATGTAAAAATCATTGCAATTTCTATGTTATTTTCCCTGAAAAATCGGGTACGAATATTCCCTTGTGTGTATATATATAGGTTTCATTGTATACTTACAATCCCACACTTGAGCCTACTTCTTACACATTTCTTTCTCTCCATTCTCTATTATATTACAAATTCTTGCCTTTTAATTAAAAAATCATTAAACTTTTAACAAATAATATGGATAAGTTGGCAAAGGATAGAGCTAACTATGTACCTCTTACTCCTCTCACTTTCTTGAAGAGGGCTTCCATGGTTTACTCGAACCGCGCTTCTTTAATCCACGGTGGTGTCCGTTTCACGTGGCGCCAGACGTATGAGAGGTGTTGCCGCCTCGCTTCCGCCCTCAAGTCCCTCAACATCGCCAAAAACGACGTCGTAAGTTTTTCGCTATACACGTAACGCCTATGTACCATCATTGTTTTTATACATTTTAGATGAATATATCATTTAATATTTATATCTCCAACAGTCTGATTAATTTTTTTTTTTAAAACTGATATAGGTATCGGTGCTAGCGCCGAATATCCCGGCATTGTACGAGATGCACTTCGCAGTGCCAATGGCCGGGGCGGTGCTCAACGCAATCAACACGAGGCTAGACGCCAAGAACATAGCAACCATCCTCAAGCACTCGGAGGCTAAAGTTTTCTTCATCGATTACCAATACGTGCCGGTGGCTCGAGAAGCTCTCCGTTTGCTCGTGGCAAATCTTCAAGAAGGTTCCGGAGAAGAGGCGGGGCCCACGATGATGCCGCTGGTAGCGGTGATCGACGACATCGAGAGGCCGACCGGCGTCCGTCTAGGCAAGCTCGAGTATGAACACCTCGTCTCGAGAGGAAACCCACGGTATGTTCCGGAAGAGTTGGCCGACGAGTGGGACCCGATAGCCCTCAATTACACGTCCGGCACCACTTCGGAGCCGAAGGGGGTGGTGTATAGCCACAGGGGGGCGTATTTGAGTACTTTGAGCTTGATTCTCGGGTGGGGGATGAACACCGAGCCGGTTTATCTGTGGTCCCTACCTATGTTCCACTGCAACGGTTGGACCTTCACTTGGGGTGTGGCGGCGCGTGGCGGCACGAACGTCTGCATCCGCAACACCACCGCCGCGGAAATGTACGGCGCCATCGCCGCGCACAAGGTGACCCACATGTGCTGCGCGCCGATCGTGTTCAACATCCTGCTGGAGGCGGAGCCGCACGAGCGGCGCCCCATCACGACTCCGGTGGAGATTCTGACCGGCGGGGCGCCGCCGCCGGCGGCGCTCCTGGAGAGGATCGAGCGTCTGGGGTTCCACGTGGTCCACGCGTACGGGCTGACGGAGGCGACGGGGCCCGCGCTGGTGTGCGAGTGGCAGAAGAGGTGGGACGAGCTGCCGAGTTCGGATCGGTCGAGACTCAAAGCGAGGCAGGGACTCAGTGTGCTGACGCTTGCTGACGTGGACGTGAAGGATCCGGAGACAATGGAAAGCGTGTTTCGTGATGGGAAGAGCATGGGAGAAATCGTGCTTCGGGGCAGCAGCATTATGAAAGGATACTTCAAAGACGAAAACGCGACTTCGAAAGCGTTCAAGAACGGCTGGTTCCTCACCGGAGATGTCGGGGTTGTCCACCCCGACGGCTACGTGGAGATCAAGGATAGGTCGAAGGACGTCATCATCTCCGGCGGGGAGAACATCAGCAGCGTCGAGGTTGAGGCCGCGCTGTACAAGCACCCCGCCGTCGTCGAGGCGGCCGTCGTCGCCATGCCTCACCCCAAGTGGGGTGAGAGCCCCTGCGCGTTCTTGAAAGTGAGGGGCGGCGCCGCCGTGGATGAGGCGGAGATATTGAAGCACTGCCGGAGAAACCTGCCGCATTTCATGGTTCCGAAGAAGGTGGAGTTCATGGAGGAGCTGCCGAAAACATCCACCGGGAAAATTCAAAAGTTTCAGCTGAGATCTTTCGCAAAGACATTGGTTATCTCGCCGGCGAAAATTAAGCCGTCGAATTCGGGAATTAATAATGAATGGGAAAATTACAGTCACGATAATAATCAGGTGGAGGAGCAGCAGCAGATTCTTGCTTTGTCTCGCCTCTGATTTATCCAATTTTTACTTTATTATTATTATTATGAATTGTATTTTATGTTAAACATACGCATTAATGTTATATTGTACGCCGATATAAATTAATTAATATAATAATTTTGTGCAGAGTTATTAATTATTATAATAATTTGCCATGTAGATGAAATATAATCTAAGTGTGAAGAAATTATTGATACTTAGTGTTGATCGGAATTACATTAACGAACCCGAAGAAAAAAAATCATCCACATGCATCACTGACGAATTCCCACTTAATTAACTGACACGTGGATCGTGGATTGCAAAGCAAGTAGATGGGACCAATATTTTTTAGTGCTTCTTGTCTAACAAAAGTGAATTTCGGTGTTTATTTGGTCCCGACGCTTTTGTAGATGCTACATCCAATAAAATATATTGGATGAGTCTAAACTATTACTCTATAGACACTTTTGTAGATACTACATCAGATAAAATATATTGGATGAATCTACACAATCTATACGTAATAACACATAAATCTATGCCTATTTATATATATACTGTCTAGTTATTTATATAGATTTATGGTGTAAAATCACATAATGTATTTCACTGGGTTTAACTTTGCATAGGCCGCTCCTGACAACGTCAACGTAAATTCATTTATGTCAGCAATAAAAACAAGTCTCCGATTGGTTGGTATTTCCGGTCACATATTTAATATGTGTATTTATCTTCAACAAAATATTGAAAACCAGTCACATAGGATTTTTCAATTTTTGTTCAAAATGCTTTACTACCAATGAGACATGGCAAATATATGATAAGTAACATGAAAGAAATCTATATAACATTAACTAAAAGTGTAAAATGATTATAATAAATAATGTTAAATAGATTATTAATTATCATATTCATTATCATTAAATAATATTGATTAAATTATTAACAAATATAATATATAAAAAATTAAAACAAAGAAAATAATAAATTGAAAGGACTTGAGCTTAATCCATTTAAATCTTACTACTCGATTCAAATATTTGAATAAATATAAATGTAAAAAAATAATTAAATAATATGATTTACGAGTTTTACAAATCAAACCAATTATAAAATAAAAATCACATCATAATATTTTGATTCTACTAATCATATATTGTTTTATTTTTAAAGTAGGAAAATTAATTGAAATGAGTTATAATCTATTTCTGTTAAAATAAACATTGTCTATGTTTTTCTTATAAGTATGTTCTTGTCAATAATTGTCTTATGATAAAATAATCAATAATGTTAATAAGTTCTTGTCAAAATATTATTGAAAAGAACTTATTAGCATTATTGATTACGGTTCAATACTTCCAAACATCTATTATTAATTACTATAGTAATTAATAATAGATGTTTGGAAGTATTGAACCGTAATTCTATATATTTTTTTAAAGTTTCTTATATTACATTTATTAATAATTTAATTAAAATTATTTAATAATAATTAATATGAACATTAATAATTTATTTAACGTATTTATTTACCAATTAAATCACTTTACACTGAATTTTTATATTATATATATTTATTGCTAGATTTTTACCAAATATCTTATTTGGCCCAGTGCTAATCCCATTTCGAAGCATTTTTGGGTAAAAATGCTCTAATGAATATCTGGGTCACGGGTCGGGTCCCATAGGTAAGACCCGTTGGGACTCGAGTCTTGAAAAGGAGGGCCCAAAATCGACTCATACATTGATTGGTCAGGTTATGGGTCAACGGTCAACGAAGCGGGACCCGAGCGGGGCGGGTCAGTCTTCAGGTCGGGTCCGGATCCCACGCGTAGACCCGTCGGGACTCGGGTCTTGAAAAGGAGGGCCCAAAACCGACTCATACATTGATGGACCCGGTTCCTAATCAACGGTTAATGGAACGGGCCTCGAGCGGGGCGGTTCAGTCTTCGGGTCAGGTCCGGGTCTAACCCGGTCCCTGCCCGTGGCTAGTATCTAGTATCCCAAGATTTTTTTTATTTTTTTTAGCTATTTTGGCATTATATTTTTTGAATATTACTTTTGGCCCCTCAAATGTTTTGTAAGTATGGGTCTTAACCCTGAATTTTTTTGTTTATTCTCCATAATTTTATATAAATTATAGATATATATATCATATTGATTATAAAAATATAAAATAAAATGGTTAAAACTTGTACTACTTTAAATAAAATTTATGAATATTTACTTATTGATCTTTGATTTTTTTATATCAATGTCTCTAAAAATAATATGAGACGGTGCCACAAATCCATTAAGGGCAATATTGTGAACCTAAATTTTTTTTCGGGCCACTGCCCCGAACCCCGAATTTTAGTCCGCCCCCCCTACTTTCTAATCCTTGTTCCGCCCCTGACTATAGGGTATATAACTTTATTGCACAAACACAAGGAAATGTGGAAATATAATTTTATTCTCAATCAGCCTATTAAAACATGCAAGTTTAACTATTTCTTTTGGGATATTTGGTTATATGGGTAAATTACAACCATTCCTCAGGTATGGTCAAATTACGAAAAAATCTATCATGTTTGGATAATTACATCTACCCTTAACTATAAATGTTCTTATATCTCCACCCTTATGATGTCAAATTCAATATAATCATCTAGGTTTCGTGGAATGTTCTCTAGTTTGTACTCGTTTTGTGCAAAAATACAGTTTATAACGCACCACAATCTAATATATACAAGCCATACATTTTATGATCATCTTTTTTTCAAAATGTGGAGCTCGAGAGAGGTAAAACATGTACAAAATTGAGAATATTCCATATAATCTAGAAGATTCCACTAAATATAAAAAATGATTTGACAGTCAACATCCTGTAAAATACGACTAAAGATATTAAATTTATTTCAATAGCTTTGAAAATTCCTCTGGGTTGTATTATGCATGATTTATTGTGTATCGAAAGTGCTAAATACTCTTAATTTTTTTTGAAGGTGCAAACGGCCAAAAATCTATATTTTTCAAGAGTGCAAAGTGAAATTAAGTCTTTAATCTCAAAACCTTTTAATAGACAAACCTTTTAATTTTTATAATAAATTTTCTTGCATAAATACCTCTTAATAAATTCAGGGCGAATTGCATATAATCCGAAAGGGTAAAATTTAAATGCACATATATCCAAATAAAAAAACAATTACAAGATACGCCTTGGGCTATAACTTAAATCAATTTTATTGGTGAAACTTTAACTAAACCAATATTACAAATTGACTTCTATTTTAACAAATATATCACATGAACCCCATTTTCACAATTTTTTTAAAACATATTTTTTTGTGGAATTTTTATTTTCCAGATAGTCGACGCCGTTGACTTTTTATTTTATTCTTTTTATAGTTTTCTTTTAAATTTTTTTTCCCGCCACCTCCCTTGACCGTTTTTTTAACAACCAACCCAGTAATATTACTGTATCGGACAGTAAAATTACTATATGATACACTAATATTGCAGGCTGAGACAATAATATTAATATAAACATAGTACTATAACTGTTTAAAACACTAATTGCAGGCCAAAGACAGTAATATTACTGTATCGAACAATGAAATTATTGTATGATACATTAATATTGCAGGCTGAGACAATAATATTAATATTATTGTATGATTATTGTATCGGACAGTGAAATTACTGTACGATACATTAATATTGCAGGCTGAGACAGTAATATTAATATTAACAGAGTAATATAATTGTTTGAGACACTAATATTGCAGGCCAAAGCCAGTAATATTATTGTATTCACAATAGTATTAATTATTTTTTAATATTTGTTTTAACAACCAAAACAGTAATATTATTGTCTCAGATAATAAAATTAGCGTCTGACAGTAATATTGCAGGTTAATATAGTCATATGAATATAAAAACAATAATATACTATTAGAGACAGTTAGGGGTAAAAATCGGATGGAATCGATCGGAATGACTTTTTTTTCGGAAAATTTCCATTTTTTTCGAAAGTAAAAAATGGGTTCTATTTTACGTTTCAAAAAAATCATAACGCAAAAATACATTTCAATTTCGGAATGCCTCGAAATCGGCGGAATTTCGGAAATTACATTAGTTTATAATATTTTGTTCCAAATTCGGATATAATTTAATTTTTCACAATATTTATTATATCTTTTTAAAAAAACGCATGAAAATGCAAGAAAATCCAAAAAAGAGTTTGACAAAACGCAAAAAATAAAAACACATGTTGACGTAACAACAAATTGAAACATAGATTTTGTTTGAAGGAAAAAATGCAACATAAAGTTTCTAATACCCACTTGTGCCTTTGATATTTATATTTTTTATATAAAATATAACATATGTTATATTATTGAACTACAAAATATATCATAACATTATATTATATATTTCGAAAAACAATACAAAATCTTATAAATTTAAAATTTAATTCAAATAGATAAACCTTTGAAGTATTTGGATAATATGCATGTTATTTGTATTGTTTTTCAGATCTGAAATAAAAATGTGTGATAGGTATTTTTTTTTTATAAATCTTATAAGCTCTCCAACGATTTATTTTTCGAATTTTTAAGATGTTTTTGGAAAAAAATTACCAAACATTTTAAAAGAGCTTATAAGCTTTCAAACATCTTATTAATTGTTTTGGCTTAATTTCACATTGCACTCTAGATATGTAGCATTATGCCATTTTGCACCCTTAAATTTTTTTTTATAGCACTTTGCATCATTGAAACACAATAAATCATTCATAGTACACCATAAATGAATTTTTTAAAGGTAATAAATGTAATTTAATATTTTTAGTGTTATTTCTTTAGGATGCCAAATATCAAATTAATGTTTTTATATTCATCAATCATTTTGAAACTATAAAGTGCAAAAATAAAAATATATTTTATTAACATATTTAAAATTTATAATATTTTTTCACAAAAGTTTATTTTACAAAAAAGAAAAAGAAAAAAAAGCCTTCACCTATTTTGTTATCAAGTTATTTGGAAATTATATTTTCTTTCAAAGATTTTTACCAAATATTTTCACTAGTTATAATAAAAGATCCATCAATCGAATATTTAGTGAGAAATTTAATTTTTTTTGTAGAAAAATATAGTTTTTATAATTAATTCGGTGTAATTTAGTTTTGCGCACTTACGCTCAAAATTAGGTTGAAGGTAGAATAAAACAACAATTTAATTTGTTATCTTGCCCCTTGGGAATAAAAAAATGAACTTGGTCTCATCATGTTTAAAGTTTTAATGCTATATTCAAAGTTGCAAAATAGGATTAAGCCAAATTATTTTAACAATTTATAAGTTTAGCCAAACATTCTTGTTGCTAACCAACAAAGTTTTGTACTCCGCAATCTCTTATTACACGCAAGGGGTTTTAAGAAAAATAGGAAATATGAAAGATTTGTTGGGTCAAGATATTTTGGAAAATTCCAATCAATTAACGATTTGTACGACCCTACACCCGGTGATAAACACTGGGTGGGTCTTCTGTTGCCACGTGTCTCTTTTTTGTATTTTATAATAGATTCCCCGCTAGGGTTTACCTTTAGGGGTTTTAGAAGAAAAAAAAAAAAAAAAAAAACATGTGGCAGCAGAAGACCTACCTAGTGTTTATCACCTAATGTAGAGTCGAAGGAACCGTGAATTGTGATAATGACCTATGTGGATGAGGATTGACAAAAACTAAAATTCGATAGATTCCACTATCCGGTATGATTTGATAAATTAGGTTTATTTATTAAAATCATATCAAATATTAGAGATCTATAGATTTCAAGATCGAATAAGGTATCAGATATTTATTTCGATGTTCAACATATGCAATTCTATGTAGCTCCACATAAATATTTGGAATATGTCCCACCCAATCCACTTTAGACCACATATTTAAATTCTAAATGAAAGTTTATATTATGTGAGTTGGAACAAATGATAGTTGGACATATTTTTTGAATTTCTATCTAAAAATGAGTATTAGTGTATATCAATGTCATGTCTTGTCTGGGAAATCTTTTTTTTTTTTTTTTAAATGTCATTGAAAGGTATAAGACTGCGTTTGGATAGAAGGATTTCAAATCCAGAATAACAAATCCATTATAGTTGTTTGAATTGGGGGATTTTGACAAGGTATTTCAAATTTACACCATTCCTTTTTAGTTGTTTTTTGAGCAATTGTGATATATTTCAGATGACTACAAATCGGAGTAATTTCAAATCATTCCTCCAAATCTCTTTCATAAATTAAATCATTACATCCAAATGAATCATAACATCCGAAAAACGTTGGGTGTTAAATGAGAAGACGTGTTACAAAATTTAGGAGACAAATATAACACAATGTCAATTTTCATAAATACATTGTATAGCCTTTTTTTTCTACGTCTTTTTCGTTTTGAGGAAAAATAAATTTATTAGGCTAAATTTTTGTGAATGGGATTTTGGGGCAGCTGAGAGTTGTTGGTTGCTAGGTTCTTAATAATATGGGGGATAGTTAACTATAGTATACTTCAGGTGAAGTGGGATTTGAACTTTAGATGCCTACAAAGTAACGATAATGACTATGTGTGATTATAAATGATTATAATAGAACTAATAATTATTTAGATGACTTTAAATGACTGTGTGCATCACACTGGGAGAATTGCTAGTAATTATTTATAGCAATATACATCTAATATTTTCATACAATACACTACAATTATTAAATTATTTAGATTTAACATTTGGGGATCACTATTTCAAATCCCAACTTTTGCTTACTTGAATACCAAAAAAATAAAAAATAAATAATTAATTGAAAATTACTTTAATACCCTTAATGAAATTAAAACTAAAAAAATATTACAAATACTATTTTTCTTTCTTAAATACCAAATAATCAAAAACTCAAAAAACCATTTCCCTCCTTCTCCACCTCCTTCTTCTCCCTCCCCAAAAACCCTTCTAAAAAATCTTCCTCACAACAAACCCTTCTAAAAAATCTCACAACAAACCCTTCTAAAAAATATCAAAACTAAAGAAATTAAAACCTCACAAAACGTATAAAATTGAGTTATAAGACAATAATATGGTAGTATATATGAAAGGAGACACATTAAGGTAAGTATCGATGTCTTTTTTGAGCTTCGAAGTCGATTTTG